AAATAAATAAATAAATAAATAAATAATTAATAATATATATATATATATATAAATATATATATATATATATATATATATATATATATATATATATATATGTTTGCGTAGGGATATAAATATATCTATATACCCCTACGCAAACACCTCGAACAGTTGTGGAAACAAAACTAAACTCAAAAACCAATCGGTTCAAGAGTCATTAGTTATTTGATTGAGATAGTAAGATATTTTGCATTCCCAGATTTGTTTTACCTTCTAAACTTTGCTTAATTATTCAATTCTTACATGGGTGCGAACAGGTATGGTACAGAAATGTTGGAAATAGAAACTTCTCTTTCTCTAATACCATCAGAAATAATAGTTCAATAAATGTAATAATTGGTAAGAATAATGCCAGGTACATCCATCACATCGCCTTTTCTGTTTTATGTCCAAATATGTAATGAATTGTGCGATAATTTGCAAAAAAAAATTATTTGTTTTACAGAACTTTAAGATTTCTTTATGTGAATGAACCAAATCATGATAAACATTTTTATCATGAAAAACTGAAATTTAAAGGGAGTTTTTGTGTCAGAGCAATCAGCAAGCTGCTATCAACAGTTCTCTATCTCGAACAATTCTCTTTAAAAATTATGGACTGGATTTAGAAAAATTCAACTCATAATTTATTTTTTGGGCGAGGTAACTTCTTCACTTTCCATTTATTTGAGAGAGATCAGGATTGGACACAGTTTCAACAGGAGTCATATGAAGAAAATCAGCTGTTCAGAGATGTTTGTTGCAATAAAGACGTTTATAACAGTAGTGGTTGGTGACATGATATCATTAACGTTTACTCGTTTTATCAGAATAAATTTATTTCCACTCCTCCTTCCCATCCTTTAATCACATCAATGATTGTTTTGAGGAGAAATTTATTGCTTCTTTTTATTTCTAACATTAAAATGTGGTATGCCTTTATTGAAATTCAATTAGAATTCATTGTTCTCCGAATATAATCTGTAATCCAATTAAACAAAAGTAATTTGACCTAAAAAACTTTTATAATATATAGCCATTTCATGCCGTAAAGAAATGAACACTTCTATTGATATCATTCGAGTGAGGAAAGAGTTCTAATGAATAAGGAAAAGAAGGTAAGAAAAAAAAGTAGATCTACACTATTTTCGAATTTTCTCCGTTCATCCTAAATTCTTTTTTTGGGCTTCATTTTCAGCAATCCATTCTAAAGAAGTGATTTGCTCTAAGCATTCGCTGATCGTTCATTTCGAATTTTTTACATTTTATTCCGAAAGAAAAAAATGATCTGAAATTATGTTAAAATGTGAGAGAATTTGAGGCCAAATGCTTCTAATCTTCTAGTATTTCATCAGATCTTTGGATGTCATTTTGATGTTTGGAAGTATAGAAATCAGTTTTGTTTTGCTTTTTCCTAAAAGATTAGAAATACGAAGTCTAAAATTCGAATAAGCTACTGAGAAGCAGCTTGTTTGAATGCGTTTATCAACTGAAATTAGAAGATGAAGTCTCGAACTGAGCAAAATGTTCCTCTTTTTATTGGTCGAATTCAGAGAGATTAAACAAATGAGGTGTTGTTCGTTAGGGATCAATTTTTGACAAAGCTTTAGTTCGAATAATTTTAAGCAGAATACATCAGTTTTATTAAATTTGATTATATTGACTTTTGATTTTTAAGAGTATCTTCCGATTCGCTTCAGATTCTTTCGCTCTTCACTTTTCCTCAACGTTAAGCACTGATAAAGTGATAAGCAATTTTGATAGTTCTATATTTGATTACAGTTTGCTAATGTATCACATTTAGATCGCAAAAATCTGTTACAATCGATTGACAGCACCCGAGTTCCGAGGTAAACTAAAAAAGGAAATGTTGCCGATGGCTATGCATCAAAAACAGGACCGAACGAAGCGGAAGCAAAAATGTTCGTTTTGTTTTTCTTTATTGCATAAAATTCATCATACTTTTATCCACCATACTTTGTTCCAATTTGAATTACTTAACTTACTTAATTTTTCTACATTTCATATCATTTCTTTCATTTCTTCTAAGATACAAACCATTTCATTTCATTCTAAATTCATTTCATTAAGCCATGATTTTACAATCCTCACCTGATCTTAACCAATCAATATGCTATTTTCCAAAATGTCTTCTTGACTTGCTTAAATCCTGGGATGCATATACTGTATTCTTTTATCCATAAACTTAATTTTACCACTTTCGCCACGTGATGGGCATTCATTTTGAAATTAACTTTTGAAAACAAAAATTAATTTGAATCAAGACTTTTCACGAATTTCGGAAATGAGCGAATGGCGAGAAATATCGAAGCACTTGTTTTCTTTGAAATGAAGATTGGTAAAGTGGAAATAAAACTGAATTATTATTTTATTTTATTAATTGTTGTCAAATACTGGATAGGATAAAAAGGACAGTAATTTGATCGTGATTGGAGATCGGATTATTGGGCAGGATTTTCTGCAGTGTAATATCACAATACATTTTTAATCCGCTTGCATCGCAAGTGATTATCTATTTACTGCTTGTGACAGAAAAGACATGCACCATGATAAATTGAACACTTTTTTTTATGGCGTAAACATTTAAAAGAAATATAAATGTATAATGCCATCATCGAATCACATATTTCATATTTTTTTTGTTTTTTCATTGCAGAATTAATTTAAGATAGTGGAGGTTTGCACCACAGTCAAATAACATCATATACGAATTTTATTTCTATTTTCTTGTTTTCTCTTTCTTCGAAACTGAATTCTTCACACCTTTCTGAGCAGTTTCCCTTACTTACTTCTAGATGTTACGGATCGAATTTTGACATGATTAGATAGACTACTGTCCTCCAAGTCTTAGCAAGCTATTTTGCTCAGGTCTCGCTATTATCGCGAATCAGAAGTTATGTACTGGTGTCAAGATCTTAGCGTCGATTTAACGGCTTCTTTGATAATTGCCAATAAAATTGTTAAAATTTCTAACTTGTTCTCTTTCCATTTCTTTTTTCCTTATTCTCTTTTTCCTATTATCTTTCCAGAAAGAGAAATTAGTCTCGATTCATTCCTCTTCAGAACCGAACCACAAGCGGCTTGTGTTAGCTCGAAACGCTTGGAATCACAAACAGCTTTCTTGGAGATAATATTAGTTAAACGTATATATAGGTACTGAGGACAAATTTGATTTCATCCTCACGTAAGTTATGAAAAGTGTACGAAAGTAGCTGTTTCTGTCAAAAACATAGCTATTTGTGTCAAAAACATTCTCAGCAAGTTGAGTTGTTTTAAGTAATTTGTTTAAACAATCATCCAACAACCTTATTGATGTTGACCTTTGCTTTTTATCTTTCCTCGACATTTATTTTTCAAGTTGAGAAAAAAACACTGAGGGAAAACAAAACAAAGTTGTTAACTTTTTCATTCCAATCAGCGCTTTCTGAGCTTTCTATCCTTTAGCTATTCCCGAACGTTCCAAAAGTTCATTTGAACATTTGGATTTACAATTTCTGAATGTACAACAAGCATAAAATAATGTACAGCAGGAGTTTTTTGGAGAGATGTTTTAAATTGAAAAACATAAAAAATTAAACTCATCAAGCGAAGTCATCTCATCTCATCTGTCGATTATTATTTGGAACAAATTATCCGGCCTGTATATTATCCGGCCTGTATACCTTTTCAATTGGGCTGATGAATGATGATGTTATTAATCCTTTTAGGAAATAAATTTTAAATTTGACTGGTTCTTTCGCTGATGTCACTTTTCCCAGAGAATTAAAAATCCATAAGAATAACTTCCTAGCATCAAACTGATATACAAATTAAACTAGTATACACCAATATGCAAATGCATCCTTGAAAAACTACGGCTAAAATGGATGTTAGATGACAAATGGCAACATTGAGATGGAAATGAAAATTTATATATTAAAACACGTATGCAACTGTAATGAAGGAAAGAGCAGGATTAGTTGGCTGTCACCTGATGATGCTGTCACCATTTCAGAGGCTATCATGTCTTTTTTTCTTTTTTCATTCACATCGAACGAAATATAAATGCTATCGGAAGAACAGTGCATTTTTTCTGCAAACTGTAATTTTCTTTAAAATCCTTTTTAAAGTAGCAGTTTTTGTGAAGAAATACCATTCAATCATCCATTCACTCATTCATTTGATCAATTTTATCGTCTTCAATTTCCTTCCTCATTCCAAAATTTATTTCGATTTTTTATCTCATTGAATCGATTTTCTGATCTTCTGATAACGGTCAGAAGAAAAGATGAGAGGATTAATTGTCGAGGAATAAATTCAACGATCTGATCTTTCTTTCGTCGGTGATTTCGTCGTTTTCACAATTCTCGTGCAAAAGGGTTCCAACTATGGCATACTCTATCTAAAGTGTATTAATCTTTCAATACTATGTAATAATCTGCCCTTAAGTTATTCCGAACCAACAAGTAGTATTCTTTTGTCAACTAGATTGAAATTTACGAGAATATCACCCTTTATCTAATGAATTGTTGTCATTTCCACTCTTCCATACAATGATGATGATGATGATCAGATTAAGTTTTACAACAGAATATGGGGCAGAGTTTCGCTCCACTTTTGTAAAATGCTTTCAGTATTTTATACGTTCACCTTTACATACACGTAAAAATTAAATCTGAAATTTGTAATATCTAATGACTAAAATTTTTGTTTTAGTTTTTCCTGTCGTTTCCTTTTTATATTTGTCGAAACTGGCTTAATTTTCTTCAAGACTAAAGGATTTGTTCCCAAAGTTTTCATACTTCACTTTAAAATTTCAAAATGTATAAATCCTCCTACAAACTAAATTTGCAAACAAGGAAACTGATTCTAATTATTTTAACCATAGTTTTAAAAATTCTCTTTGCAGGACCCTTTTTTTACTGCCAGTGATGCCATCTTTATTTGTCAATACACTGGTGATTTACCACTTTAGTTAATGAGGAGATAGAAGTAATGTCACGGCAGAAAGTATCGGAATCAATTATGAAAAGTTGACAGATTTTGCCTTATAATCAAACGAAACCATAGCACTGTTTAAGCCAACTCACATTTATTTTTGTTTTTTATTTCATTCAGTTAAATTGACTGCTATTCCCTTGATAGTGTAACCTGAAAAACTTTCTGACGGAAAAATTGCTGGAAATCTTGAAGACTGGTCGCCTGTTTGCGTTCTTAAATGTTGATTTCAAGTGTTTAGCATTCCGACACGGTCCAATGTCCCATATTTGAGGTTATCTTTTCATAAACTACAGAACATCACAACTTTTCTGGATATCAAATACCATACACAACAAAATTTTCATTTCTTGAAATTTAATTTCAATAAGTTCACTTAAACAATCTGGTATCCGACGCCATCCATTATAGTTATCGTATGACTCTTGATATTTTCTCATCTATCAAAATTATTTCAACTTAGAAGCAACCTTAGATTAACATGATTCCCAGCATATGATTAAATTCTGAAGGGAATTTTCTTCCGATTCTTCTATGATTTATTGCAACTGACCATTTCCAAATGGATCAAAGCTAGGAAAAAGTAAATTTCATGAAAAATGTTCACGACAGCTTATTGATTGAATGCTTACGAAAATCGATTTTGGCTAATCCATTCGCCTTCTCCTTCACAAGCAATTACATTCTCATTCTAACGTGATAAAAGTGTTTCCTTCAACAATTTCCAAAATAAATATTTATTTGTTTATATTTGTTTTTAGTATAAATTTTACAAAATCGTTTCTATTGAGGAATTTTGGAAGCAAGTTTACAGATTTTCATTAACTTATACTCTCTAAACTAAATTAAAATGGAAGACTGAGTGCAAAAAATTACCACCAATGAATGAAATTTCCGGATTTTTGAAAATTTGAAAAAATAGGACCCTTAAGTTTAAAGTTACGCCACACTTTGTCAGAAAAAATAATCTGTAAAAAATATATGATTTTTGAATATTTTTCAGCATCAACAGTATTAAGATCGAGTCGTCTGTCCTTGGAGCATATGTTTCCAGAGGAAGGCCTAAAACCAGGTCCTTATTCGTTCGGTTCGTCCACGCTCTACGAGAATGTCTCCGATGTGGAAAGTGCTGCGCAACTGAAGAAGACATCCTGTTCAGCTATAATGGTTTCAAATCAGAAAATATCTCGAATCAGCAGCCCATCCCGAAACTTAAGCGTTACCAGGAATCATGTTCCTATCAAGTTCATTTCCTGAATATTTTCTTCATTCACCGCATTTAATTCTCAGCCGAAATATAAGAGTTCGGTTCTCTTTTCCACCCTTAATTCTATCATTGCACATTTCTCCATTTTCAACATTCTGATTGCTGAGCTCTTATGTCCAATTATTAATCTCTCTTCACTGAAATTATCAACAATTATACTCATTTCACGTGAATCAGCAAACCATCTTATGTTTCAAAACAATCCATTTAAATAATTCAGAGAATATTTCACAGGAAATGCATCCTTTTAAATAATATCATCAAGTATTATTTTTTCCAAATTTCAGTACTATTCATGAAAAAAAATCGATCGATATGAGGCCGTTGTCAGTTCCGCCAAAAGAAGCAAAACGAACTAGTCCAGTGCAGTCACGTTGTTATCTGGCGCTTGGAATTGCAACAATAGTTGTATGTGGGATAGCATTCACAGTATGGCTCACGTACGATTCGCTTGGGAAATTTGTTTCTTCCTTGCTGAATTAAATTTATTGGAATTTTAAGATTAACTTCTCGGATTGTTTAATTTTTTTATAAAGTCATAATAGAGAACGTTACAAATGGAAAGTGTCTTACCAAGCAAGCTAAGACAGTGCAAAATATTTTGGGATGGACTTGTCGGCTTGCTTGTAATTAAAGATTTTTGAATATTCATGGCATAAGATCACATGAACTTGGAACTTGGACAATGAATGAAACATTTGCAACATTCACTTCAATCAGTTCGGTGTTACAATGTTTTGCCAAGGCTAATAGAGCAAAAATTCAATCATCGCTGGAATTTTATGACTTTTAAATTCAAAAAAGAACTGTCGCTACATTATTCTTCAATCAACTGCTCTACCAAAGGTTGGTTGACTAAAGCTTCTGCAATGCTTCGGCATATGCTTTTAAATAGTTTTCAGGAATTATTTATTCGCTAATTTTAAATGTGAAAACAACTTTAAACATGCATTATTTCGCATTGCAAATATATCTTTCCTATAGATTTGGAAAGACTTTTCAGCTTTCTAATTTCCGTAATTTGTAGTAAATGCACAATGGACAAATTATGAGATACTTTTTGAATGTCAAAAGTTATTCATGAAGCTCCCGCATGATCTCTTTTAATTGGATTCAAGATATTTAAAAAAGGAAGAGTCACAGGAAGGCTATGTAACATCTAAGTAAAAAGTGACCCATTGAATAGCAGTAACAAATATTATAATTTTACTCATCTTAAAGAAGTGCATTTATTAAATAAGTCTGTAGTTCTTTAGCTGAAAATTGTAATTTTTTAAATTTGCGTATTTTGTGAAGTTCAATGTTTCTAATTGCAATTTTATCATCAAAGTACATACATCTATGCCTCGTATAATTCCTTTGCTCATTTTGATCTATTTTTGGATGCGCAGTTTGTTAATGATAAAATGAAAAGTTGCTGGTTGTACACAATTTGATAAATTTCTATTCAAAAATTTCCACATTCGCATTTAGAGACAGTTTTAAACTTTGGCCTAGTTCGTTTCCACTGCTAAATGCATATCGGTAAGCGTGACATGTTTAAATCATAATGATGCAAATAGTGCGCATAGGAGGAAAAGCGTACAAGGCATTTGCTGTACAAGAGAATGTACGGCACTTATAGCATTTGAAGTTAAAATTTGTCATATGAAAGAGTATGCAGGCTGATGTGTTTAACGAGGGGAGAACAAGAACTGACATGAGGAACGACAATTAGAATATGCTTGTCTCAATCTGTCAATAGGTTCATTATAACGTATTAACTTATGAGAAAGGAAAAAAGTAACAATACTGAGAAAGAGAGTATCTCAAAAAAAAGAAGCTAACATAGATATGAGCTTTTGTTTTAGATGTATTACGTATATGTTCGAATAAACCATAATCTCTCCGGGAAATGTTGGACTGAATTGACAAGAAATTATCGACTAGCTCAAATGTGAATTCCATATCGACCTTAAATTGAGAATTTTTTGAAGCTCATTGTTTTATAGCTTCTAAATAGACCTCAGACTAGTCAAGTATTCACGATAGGCGGGAAGCAGACGAGTACCTAACCAACAGCTATTGAATATACATTTCCTGCACTGATAAACATCAAACTTTCCAGTGGTCGTTTTGTGTTCAATTTGTCGAATCAATCGATCAAAACAGCGCTTATCTTTTAAAGTCACCGAACCAGGCAAATTCTCACCAGCATGAAGACCAAAATTTCTGAAAATTCCCTGAGCATCAACCAACTGCAAAATGCATAGTCTAATTTAAAACTTCCTTTAGCAGGCGAAGTGAAAGTTACGATAAAAATCTCAAAGATATACATTTGAAAGCCCCGGAAACTTTTACATTTAAACTTTCAAGTGCAATTTATTGTCACAAATCTGTTTTCCATCAAACCAATTATTGGTAAAATTCTTCAGAGTTTTCCGAGAAGCCGACTTAACCCGATGCAGTTTCGTTCCGGAATCATCGTATAGAAATCCCAATATCCTGAACCAGAAGCACGTCTCCGATATAAGTTAAACCACGATGAGTCATGTCGAATTTGCAGCGTACCAATGCGGTACCAACCAAGTGGTAACTTCATATCCAAACCTTCTTCTTCTAAGCTATTATCAAATGGAACATGTGTTTGACAGGTGACAGTGCTGGAAAAATTTAGATACAATTTAAGAATGTCATTATGATATTAAATAAAGAGGTTTTGAAACATGTAAAAATACACAATTTCTGTGAAAGCAACGTGTGATGGAATTTGAATTCAGCCTTATCCACGTTTGCTCCCAACGAATTTAAAGCATAGCTTTCTCTCTTTCTTAATCTCCAAATTTTAAAGCATATTTTATTCTTCTCCGTTATTTTGAATCGAATCGAAAAAAGAACATACCCGCATGTGATCTCGTTTGTATTTCGGTAGTATGTGCAATAAATATTCCTAAAATTTTGAGGAAACAAATTTCATAAGCCGAGAATTCCCAAACTTAAAAAAATTTCCGGAAGTTTTATTTCTCTACACAAACTTCATATGTTCCTAGCACAAATGAATTTTCTTTTTGTATTTTCTTCTAATTTTATTATTTTTTTCTGAAGTTTTCCAGCTCTTTTCAAAATCCTAAAGATTACACTAATTTAATATATGCCTAACATTCTACTTTGTTCATTATAGAACTACTACAGCGTGAAATTGAATGTGAATGAATTAAGAGAAAATTTTACTGGATGACAATACTTTACTGAGTGACACTATCTTGAAGGCGTATAAAGCCATCTGGAAGGCGAGGCGCACTACGAATAATATTCTTGATAACGTTATGCTTTATATATACATTTCGAAAGATAAACTTACTCAGCCCAAGTTTTGAAATTGATAAGCAAAGCCATCGAGGCTTTTAGCCAAAAGTTTTTGACCATTTTCACTTTGTTACGTTTGTTGATAAAACAGGATGAATAAGATCTTTATAGTTTACGAAAGATCATTTACTGGAAATTTAATTAACTTCGCAAATAAACCAGTATGCTTTCATTTTTCAATTTTCAAAATTCATTCTTCATTTTGAAAACAATCCTCATGAGGCCATTACAAAAACACCGCGACAAAGACGGTACAATTAACAGTAAAATAGTTCAAAAATAGAAGTATGACAGTACTTTAATGGAATTTAATTTAATAGAAAAGAAAAAGATCCATAAAATGTTGCAAAATGATAGTATTTCAGTGGAAATGAAACTTATGAATCATCATAGGGAAATAATCCCACCAATTTGTGTGTCATTTGTCATCCATTCATGAAATGAATTGAGCGAAATAAAACTGTTATTGGACTTGAAGTTTAAAGTGAGCTGTTTAGAAAGCATTTTTTCAAAAAAAGGCAAAGTAATTCTATACACCACAGCCATACCAATATACCCAGTCCATTATCATCGTTTCATCAATATGGATGATGGTTCACATGAAAATAAAAACCGGTTCAAGGCCGCTGTCGGTGAACATTCGTCAGCACATAGTTGCTGTTTTCATTATCAAATTTGAAATACATGTCAAAATCTATTGTTGTTAAAATACCACGATATACCGTCCTTCTGTCACCCCTGTTTTCATATCTGACGAATTACTACCAAATGTACACAAGAAATTGCCATGTAAACGAAGCACTTACTGTTGCTTAATATAGGTGGACACGTCCTCACTTGATTGTCACAGTTTTACGACATTATGGAAATTATGTTTACATCGAAATTCCTGCTTGTTTTTGTGCCATCGAAATCAGTTGCAACATAATGTATTTTCTTTATTATCGAACATAAGTCATAGGTTTTAATGGTGACAAGGATGAATAGATGGACATCTGCCCTTTCAAACAAGATAGTATTGATAAGAGGTGATAAAAGTTCGTACTTTCATACTTCAAACTCACCATTGCGTATTACGATAGCCGATCATATTAACAGTTTTGGAAATTTGCTTCAAATGTTATTTGGACTGCCGGGATAAACATGCAACTTCCAAATCAAATCTATACTAGAAAGGACAAAGGGACATTCAACGCCAATAGTTCCAGTACTTTTCTTATCTTGCTACTACTATTAAAAAACAATATCTGTGGAACGAACAATTTATATCGAAAACGAATATAATAACACTCAAAACTTTTCTGAACATGAAGACTTAGCACCGATTTTAGGAAAAATGGAAGAAAATATTATGCTGGAACATAAAAAAATAACCTTCTCTAGGGTCGCTTACACAGATTAAACAAATTTTTGAGCAAAAATAATCCTCACATGACCATGAAAATTCAGAAATTCTCAATTCATACAAAAATGGGGCTATTGTGATGATCAACCAAGGGCAAATACTCAGTATTAAGGTTAGGAAATGTTTTCAAGTTATGTCAATCTTTGAAGCTCGCACATTTCAAAATATCTCATGTATCATATCATCTCATGGATGCAACAGAATACGCTGAGTAGCTTATTCTCAACGTTGGTGATATGTCAGAGATAATTCTCAAACAAATTCAGATGGAGATATACCAATTGTTTAAATGCTCATGATCTGAAAGTAAAATGAAAAAAAAATATGGAAAAAAATATTTGCATAAATCATGGAATACTCTAACTGGAAGCATGGACATTTAAAGCCATTAAAATGCATGGAATATTACCTAACATAGCAAATTTTCAAGACGTAAGCACAACAAGGCCACATAACTAAAAATAAAGCCACAAACATCGTGGAAAGAAAAACACTTACTTATATCTGTGAGATCTTATAAAATAACTAAAAATGCTGGAAATATTCATTGCCAGTATTAATATGTAAAAGAGTGCACAAAAATTTGAAAATAAAAAAGAACCAACTTAAAAAAAACGTTGAATTTTTTGCAATGTTGACGCTAAAAAGACGCCCTTCATAGCTAACAACATGGATCAATCAAAAAGTAAACTGACCATATTTCATCTGAAAGAAGCAACAATGGAAAGTCAGTAATTCATATCTTTAACAAAACCAGAATTCAGAGATTTAGAGTTCCCCTGAAAAACTTAAAAAAGCAAGAACAGTCATAGATGTGTTTAGAAAATGATCAAGTTTGTGTCTCAATATTTAAAAATGAAATTAAAGTTGAAACAGTAAGAAAAAATATATCGTAACAAAAACAAGATGAACATTGACAATATTTAAGGTTTTTTGAGAGTTTTCTTAATTAATGCCATTCGTTGATTGTGTGCTGCCATTTCGGCATTTTTTTGAGCACTCTCCGTGCTGTCTGATTTTGCTTGAGGTTCACGTTTCAGAAGGGTAGGATAGTTATAGTACCGTCGTAGAATAAAATCAACATCTATAGCTTCCAGTGTATCCGAACCACGATGACGAGCAAGCTTACATGATCGTTCAATAACCTACAATAAAATTTTAAGTTTTAAAAAGTTCAAAATCCCCTGTACTGGAATCCTTTAATTTTTAATAACTGGAATTCTCTAATTCACAACAGCTGAAATATTAAAAAAAATAAAATAAAATAAATAATAAGAATTCCCCTCATTCTTAAGTACAAAAAAAGAAAAAAATAAAAATCCCCCTCATCCTCAAGGACTTTAAAATCTAATATCATCGTGACTTAGAAATATCTGTACCCAAGAAAACAAAAGGGATTACCAACTTTCACACTACACGAAGATACCTGATCAACGAAGTTGTCGACAAATTCAGTGAGCATAGTTTTTACAGGATCATCAAGAATTGAGGTAGGATCAATTTGCCGTATGAGATCATCCAATTGCACAGATCCAAGAATCGATGCCGACCCTGATGTTGCTACCATATGAGACTAAAAGTTCACTACCTTCATCATTGAAAAGCATAAATTGAACTTCCGAGAAAAGAACAGATTGTTTTCATAAACTAGATTTGAATCCCGAAAACAACTAATTTAGTAAAACAATATAAAATTAAACAATCAATACCTGTTCGGAGGTACCCTCTGCCTTGATTGCATCAACGATATTTAGCTTCCGTACAGCATTAAGCTGCGAAGTTTCTGCTGTAGCTTCTTTTAATTTATTAGCGTCTAAATATTAAAAAAATTAAGAAATTTTAAAGCCCCTCATCTTGATTTTCACGAACATTCATGTCCTTGTTTTATAAGCTTTCAAAATCAAAAGAATATGTGGAAAAAGTGAGCAGACAAGTTTATTTTTATCGAAGATACACTTATTCCTGCAGGAAAATGACAATTTTAAGTACCCAGTCAGAAAACAAAATAATTGCATTCTCAATATTTTATGACTAATCATGAAAGCGACTAAAGCTCTTTCCAAAACATTCAGTTTTAAAGAGTACTATATGCGAGAATTTTTTTATCCAAAATATTTCGGTGCTGAATATTTGAAATGTAAAGCATCGGTTATAAATGGTCGTTGCATGCAATAATCAAAAAATTAATTTATAACGTCAACATTCTATTTTAAGTGCATAAGAAATAAATCGACAAACAAAACAAATGAATAATTGCAGGATGTGTTGATTTATATTTAAGTAAACACAGCGACAAATGGCGAAAAAAGGTGGTCATTTGAGAGGCAGCGAAATTTCCAAGCCAACAGAAACCATTTCTCATGTTTGAAGACAGGAACTATGATCTTATTCCTTTGAATTAAAAGTTAAATCAACACAATTTGCCCGATACTGCACCATATGTGCCTGCAATGTCACCTCTTATTGCTAGTAAACGCATGCAAAAAACTGAAAACAAACCTAGCGGGCAATTTGATGAGCGTGACGTAATACTGTCTGTAAGAGATTGGCGCGTCATCGGCTTTATTGGAAATCGATTTCCTACTCCCACTGCTGATGATGTCACAGTTCTTGATGCCGGCTAAATTTTTTGTAGATCTTTCACAATGGATTGAGCCAAATATCAAAACTTCGAGCACTGAAAATCGGAACTTCTAAAATCTTACCACTGTTACGACTGCAATGCGATGCTGCTTCTGAAGTAGCTCGCCAACAGACAAATTAACAAAAGCAGGCGAATTATGAGAAGCAGCTTGCACGGTGATAGGTAAAGCCGATACCACTGTGGCTGTAGGAGCTATTGACGTCGTTGCAGATGTCAGCGTTTCTTCATTAGACGACATTTTCTGGTCGATGAAACGACTTTTATCTCTAAAAAAGTTTTAACCATTGCTGTTCGACAAGCTTCCCTCCCTCGTTTTTTAATTTAAAAAAAAAAGAAAAAAAAACATCTCGGCATATAAGAAACCACCTCATAAAACGTTATGCAAAAAATGAAGAGCAAGCGTCAAAAACTACAATTCTTTGGCCATAAAAGGAAGTAGGTAGCAAATATCAAGTATGAATGGAAAATGCATCAACGAATTTCAATTTATTCTTTTCTCTACTTTAATAGTAAGCTTATGACGATATCACATTCTACATTATGTTAAGAGATTTCTCAGAAGTTCTATCTAAAAAATAAACCTTCAAAAATATTTGTGTCACCAATACTGCACTGCACATCTCTCTCTAGAATCTACTGTGTAATAAAATAAGTCTAGTTTGCTTGTCAAGATTTGAAGATCAGTATATGTTTCAGTTCTTATCAATAAGTACAGAAATGCTTAATGGACCTTCTGCATGTGGTCGGAAAAATCAGCAACAGGAAGTCATTGGAAAGCAGAAAAAACCATACAGTTATCAGTAAGCATTACTTGAATTTAAGAAAAATTTACCCAACAGTAGCGGAACAAAAAAATACAACAACAATACAGTTCTTCGTCCATAAGAAAGAACAAATATCAAGTGTAGATGGTGTCAACAGCTGGAAAAAAACCATTGCAATTTGTACCTCTTTCTCTTTGAACAGTAAAACATCAAATACTAAATTATGATGAGGACGACTTCAAATTTCCAACAGTTTAATATGAAATTTGCAACAAAAAGCACAAACGAGAACTCAAAAACTTGTCCTTATTCAAATTATTAAAACATCAGTTGTTTTTTTAAGATGAAAAGAGAAGATGAGAGAAAACTGCGCTTCAAGATACCGTACCAAAAAAAAATGGAAAACTGGGCTTCAAGATATAGTAGCGAAAAAAATGGATAACTAAAATTTAAAATGCAGAAGGAAGAACGAAAATGCCGTCCATGTATAAATTAGTTTACATCTTAATTTTGTGAGATAGTGGCTTTGTAATGTATAAGACACCTAAGCGACTCTGTTGCACGTTACTAGTTTTCCCTAACCTCATTATTAAAACATCTCGCATATTGAATAGTGTTAAATATCAGACATAGCAGTCGTATTATTTGATGAACCGAAATATTAAATCAAATCAAAATAGGTCTGAACACAGCTCTAAATTTTACGGTCTATTTCTTCGAAATTTTTGGAGTTTTTCCATGAACATTTTTATTAGATTTTGGGAAGATCTGTACAGTGATATCACAAACACGAGGATAAAAATGCCTTCACTTTCAATAGGGATTCTTTTAAGCATGCGTTCGAAGTTTCCTTAGCATCTACACCATATGTTTTCTCGATTGATGCAATAATTGGCCGAAGAGTTATTCGAATTTCGGATTTCGCCTAAAATTTGCTGCAGCTTAGAAAGGTTAATTTGCACGAGAAAACCAATTAAAAAAGAGGAAAAGCTTGGAAGTGATCATGATTACGATTAAGGACAGTTAAATTAAATACTGCACTTTATCATGCAAAATATTGCAAATGTCCACTTTGACAAGCATTTTCTTAAGGACGCAAGAATAACAAGTCTGACTAGACAACGTTTTACCCTGCCCAAAACAGTTTTATTGTATGAGGTAGTTACCAGTCGAAAAATGTTGGTAATTGATAACAGCATACACTTTCCTCAATTAAAATACTTTCACTTACCAGATCGCCTTCAATGTTCTTCATTTCCGACAAAACTTTTTTGGATTCTTCCAATTTCATGACTGCGTTCAAAACAACGATACATGAATCAACATTTTTATGCCAATCCGGAAAAAAGAAATGTAACATTTTTTTCTAATGTTTTTGTGTGTTTGGATCCAAAAATTTAGTGAGTGATTTCAAGAAATGAAGAACTTCGGATTTCATCTAAAATTTACTGCAAACTTAGACTAAATTGTTATAAAAAGCAATGATGCACAGAATTCACTTGTTTATTATAGCATGCCCTAAAAGCGCGCTCCAGCAACTTAACGTAAAATTCATAATCTTTCATGGACGACTCTGAATCTGGCTCTTTTAGCTCTGCATAACAATGCCAAACCTATAACACGAAAAAGCTTCAACTTTGTTTGCAAAAATGGAAAAACAAAAAATTTATCGAGAAAAGCAATGCCACTGAGAAACATTATTAAATGAATCAAAAAGAAAGAAAATCGATGAATCTTGGTAAACAAAAATGACAAACTATTGAAGAACAAGTTTGCTGCGAAGTTATTCTACCCAATAATTCACACATCTTATCTGTTAAGCGTTTCGCGGATCCTCCGCTCACCTGAAAGCAAGTCACATGAAAAAACTATGCAATCCACCAAAGGATCATCCAAAAACGCAAAACAGTGATATCCTTCGTGCTACCTTTCATCCCGAATTTGGTAAGTTATTGAAGAATGTCTTCAGTATGATAAAAATAATAGAAAATGAAAGACAATAAAGAACATCAATAAGGATGCTGCTTAAAAACTCATGGAATTTATGTTCGCTTTGGAATTTTTAAGTATTAATCGCTTTTAGACATTTCAAAACCGGATGACTAATAAATTATAGAGATTATATTACGAATGTGATAGTTCTTCCTAATGTATTTTTCGTCATATGTTGTACCTGGTCCCTTCCTCCAACGTGTTTATTTGGAAAAATTCTTGTTAGATTTTAAGTTATATATCCCGATTTAAGTAACAGAGCTCCAAAACTTTGCATCTTCAACATGTAATCGACTTTGCAAAATGACAGCGAGAAGTAGCAGTAGATTCATACTTTTCTTAGAATGAATAATTTTTGTGTGAGAGCTTCAAGCAGTAGATTCATACTTTTCTTAGAATGAATAATTTTTGTGTGAGAGCTTCAATTATAGCATCATCTTTATATTGTTTCTCCAAATCTAATATCGCATGGAATGTAGAAATTGCTGACGAAAGATCATGCGTGCGAATGCAAAGAAGAATATAGTTTTCTCGTAATTTGATATGTTCGAAATTCAATTTCAGAGCTTCCTGAAACAAACATTAACAGTGAATGAAAAGAAGAAATATATCTGCCATTTCTCAAAGTTATCAGAAATATGACATCAAGACAAAAGTTTCATTCGATTTTTCAAAATAATTAGAAAGACTTTCTGATTTATAAATGTTCGACTTAAGAAATGGCTCCTACAGCAGAAACAAAATTACTGCACACTAATAAGCATATGAAATAGAACTCACTAATTCGGAAAATATCCCCAAAATTAATGGGCAGAGTTTACTGGAGATATTTTTGAAAATCCTCGGATCGAAAATTTAAGAAAATCACATGATATGTTAAGTAGAACAAGATGATAAAAAAATGGTTAACCGAGAATAGTATTTACACGTTATTTAAAAATTGGAGGAAAATGTTGTAGAATGTAGAAAATTCAAAACGAGACTTGTAAAACAGCTTTAGCTCGCTCTGCATTATCTAATCTTTCATATACAGCGGCAAGATTATTCCACGCTTGGAAATGCGCTGGTTCATAACGTACACATTCTTGATAAGCTTTCGCGGCTTCTCTCCATTTTTCGAGCTTCCACGCACAACAACCAAAATTGAACCAGGCGAATGGCTTGAACAAGTTGACATTAAAATGTAAGTAATATAAATAACAGATCAAATGTTCTAATGATAACCTAATGATAACGCGTGAGGCAAACGGTGTCACAGTACGATCCATCAGTTCAAACATAATTTGAAAATACTTTCTGATAAGCAGTCCAAATAAAACGAGAAAATTAAACATACACTGATCGGCTGAAGCTCAAGGCTACGTTTCAAATGATGATATGAAATATTATAATGTTTTCGTTGAAGCATTAGCAATCCCAACGATCGGTGGGCGCGAAATGAACGGCCATTCGAAACCTTAATTTTAAAAACACGATTTTACTAAAATTATTCTTCAACTTCATTACATATAATCCGGAAGTTATACCACTTATTTTAATGATAACATTTACAGTTTTAGAGGGAAAATGAAGCATCTCTGGAAAAATGATAATATTCTTTTCCTACAAATCTTTGTGAAGAAATTTCTATGAATCGCCAAGTCTGAATTTTAAATTTAAATTCAGTACCTCAATCGCCTTCTCGTATGCATTTGGCTCTTGAAGAATGTCGCCTAAAAGACACCAGTAAATTGATTCGTTCTCATTCTTGGCAAGGAGATTACGAACTAATCGTTCAGCCTTTTCCAACTGACCAAGTGATTGATAACAGTCAATAACATTATTCCAATCTTCCTGCTTTTCGAATATTTTCAAGGCTTCCTGCAAATCTAAGATGGAAAAAACGAATCTAAGATTTGACTACAAAAACCTAAGATGCTTGAGTACTACAAAAATAAAAATCTGATGGTCTGAGAACATCACAATCTACCAATATGTGATCTACTATTTTTTGATTGCAACTACTTGCCAAGCAATCTACTCATAGCTTGGGCAAAAAGAAAAAAACAAACAAACAAATAAAATCATTTTTTATCATTCACTGACACGACAGCAGTGGTACAATACAGAATAAGACGACAGAAGAAGTTTCAATCTCAAAAGCAAATAATAAAAGTAACACTACAATGACGATTTTAAAATATTTTATTGGAAAGCATTAAAAGACAAACCGCTGTGCATCCGATCGAACGAAGGAGTTGAGCATGAACGAGATCAATATACCAAAATGGCTTCATTCCACTTGCTAGCAGTAACTTCAAGCGTTTCCTTAAAGTGCTCTCATTCACCTATAAGAAATGAATGCTGTTGGAGAACCGTATTTTAGAGTAAAGAAAAAAAAAGTGGTTATTTTTGAATGGAAATTTGTAAAATCAATCTGTTCTAATTTGGACAGTACTTCGACCACATTTTTTTTTTTACAACAGAACGCAAAATTCTGGAAAAGGTGTAATATCCATTTGAATTATCCAAATCTGGAAGCAAACCTCTTTAATCCCTATACTGTTCACCAATTTTGACAATGATTCCATTTGCATGCATGCACGTTCCACTCGGTGCATGCTAATCTTCTCAAATTCTGAACGCTGCAATAAAGCACTAGTCTGCACCGCCCAATTCCTACGCTGGGCAATTATCTGCAAAAATTATTGGTACCAAAAAAGAAAAAACAAAATGAGATTAGAAAAATTATCATGAGTAAGAAACCAACATTTAGATTTGGATCAATTTTAATCTTCCCATTACTTTTGAATTCCATCTTCAGCAAAAGAATTTATAAGCATAATAGATATTTTAACACCCTAAAATAAGTGACAGAATTTAAAAACAGAGCAAAAAATAAAATGCCTCATCGAGATAGGAGCAACATTTTTCAATTACTAAGTCCTCAGTGCTTTGAATTTTTCGTTCAAGCACGCCAGAAGCCAGCATACATGCCAAACTTAGGGAAGATAGTTTAGTACGACTGGCTGAAGCATCTACTTCAGCAACGAGTACATTTTCTAGCAATGAGTCATCATGAAGCAAAACATTTGGCGGCAGAGTGCTATCATTTTCCGGTGCGTCAGCGTTCTCCAGATTATCACCACCTACAGCCTTAATCAAAATGAAAAATCTGATTAGAAGAAAAATCATATTTCAATAGGAATAAAAATCGAAGAAACAAATATAGACCAACCTTCTTATTAAATAACTGATTAATAATTTTTCCTCAAAAACGTCAGCTGACGTAAATTTAGAAATGGTATAAAAAATTGATTCCAGTTGAAAAAAAAAATCATATCCAAGACTTCAAAAAAGATGGGACTAACTCTGGCGATAAGTTGAGGCATAAAATCTTCTTGAAATCTAGTACGTTTACCCAAAACTCCGATCATTTCAATTTCAAGACCGATATTGTTCAAAGCGTTATTTAAACAAATTTCAGCTCTATCGACCTGATTGTACAGCAAATGAGCATACATTCTTTCAAGGAGTGCTTCAGTAGCTGTTGTTACGGAAATACAGTCAACTCGCACATGTTCCTAAAAATCACAATTTATCTGCAATTACAGCGTGATACATAACATCCTGAAACTTACAATTTACAAGAATACAAACTTTCATTCTTGCAAAATCAAACAACTTATAGCTTAGTGAATGAGAATGATAAGAGAAAAAAAAAAGAAAAGGACCAAAATATTCAGAATGTTTTCCAGTTCAACAGCCGGCTCATTTAGTAAATGCTGCCATAATATCACCAAACGACATGTAAGAGAGCTTTTTTCAAAACCAGCATCCAATCGAGAACAACATTCGACTAATATTGTTTTCGCCAACCACAAGCATAATTTTGAACTACAAACAATAAGATTCAATACAAAAATACTTTTTTTCTAGACACTTCAGTACATGAATACCAAAAACAACAGTAGTAAAAAGGGTTAGTTACTCAGAGACTAGAAGAGATTTAAACAGATTTTTTATTTGAAACATTTTATGATTGGCTTTGTATCAGCAAATATTATTTAACAGTAAAGAACTGTTAGGAAAAAGAGAAAAATCCAATATCAAATGTCTCTTTTTTTTCTTTAAATGAAAAATTCAATACTCATTACATCAAAATTCATCATACCGAGCAAATTTGTATGGTGAATTGCAACCGAAAGATAAATCATTATCAATTTCCTCTTCCATCATATATTCTTCACAAACTGGTTTCTCTAAACACATTGGAGTTAAATAAAAATTAAATTCCGACTCCATTGACCATTAAATTAAACCCATAACCGCATATACTGTTTGAGTTCTACGATTCATTTAATACAACTTCCATATAATAGTTAAAATCATTTACTGAAGTTATACGACATTTACAACAACCTTTATCCCACTAAAATATTGCCAGAAGACAGCAATAAGGTTTATCTTTTTATTTCCTGGAACTCTTGTACTTCCATCTTTTTCCTTTTTTTCCTTTTACTCCTTCGGTTTTTTAACTTCAGTATATTGATTTGAAATACAGCTCAATGGTACCATCACTCGTTGCCAAATAGTTGCAAATATGAAGTGCGTAAAATCAGAGATACATAAAGTTTAACTTACGACTAATATCAATTTAAAAGAAACTAACAATATGGAAGACTCATAGAATTGAAGACAATTTTTGACAAACAAATGTAACGGACACCTTATTTATGTATTTCAATAATGGATTAATCGCAGTGGATTAATTCACCAAACAGATCAATGAAAGGAACGGAAATCGAAAGGACATTACCAATAAATCCAGCGTAATTGGCTAAGGCAAAACGGTCCAAGCATTCTCTGGCTATCGGTAACAATAAAGTGTTTGGAAGGCAGTCCAATTCGTGCTTCAGTTGGGCTAAACTTTTCGACTCCATCAATACGTCCATAGCCACATACTCGTCCATTTTTGAAAATAGCACTGCCTGCGTCTGAACTTTGTCATAAAACCTTTGATACGCTAAATCCCTCCTTGTTCAGCAGAAGTCTCGAAACGAAAATGCTGTAGAAAGAAGGTTTTGATCCAATTCGCCAGACAGTTCCTTTACATTTGGGTGGGGTTGAGTTATTCCGAATGTTTCGGGGTAGTGGGCATTGAGCATATAGCTTTCAGTGCTTTAGGCAAGTAACGAACTCTTAATAGATTTGAAATTTGCAAGAAGCAACTCCATAATAATGCACTGAATTTGTTTTCAGCTTTCATGGTGATGTTTCATCATGTTAATGAAAGAGATTTAAGTATTAGTATGTCACTATTTTTTTTCCGGGTAGATTGCATGGTACATAGCTCTTATACTTAATAAGATATTGAACTAATTGAGCCACGAGAATATTTTATGCGTTGGGCATTTCACTCCAATCCATTACGAACTCTAATTGATTTTACCGTGTAACCAACCATACTTCCCTCAACCACTTTTGAATTTTACACTTTATGGAATGCCTTGTTTCATCATTTTTATTCGGCTTACATTTGTTTTTGCATTGATATCCACACTTATATGAGTGTGCATATTTCTTTGTTTTATTTTTCATCACTGTATTTGAAGATTCTCTTGCGTGCTTAAGCATAATTTGCTTTAAAGTTCATATCTATACAATTCTTCTTCCGTTTGATGTCTTTCGAAATTTAAATTCGTTAGTTTACTATTTGTTAGTTTATACGGAAATCAACTTTGGGAAAAGCAATGAGAGAAAAGCAAATTTTTATGGCTTTAGGTGTTTAATAAAGAAAGCAAAGGAAACAGAGGTTAATGGATCATTTTGGAAGTCCATCGCAGTCGACATCAGTGATAACATCACTTGGTGGTCAGACATCGAACAGTAGTCATACTGTTGGCCCAGCATCAATACTCACTGGATCAGGGCCTAGTTCCATCCTGGCCTCTGCTAGTATTATTGGCGGCCCATCAGTAACGCTTGGACCAGGATCAATAGTAATGGGAGGTGCTGCTGGTGGATCAACACCAAATCTGAGTAATGTTGGCTGTTCTGGGCCTAGTTCAATACTTACAAATGCTGGACCAAGCTCTGTGCTTGGCGGCAGTATGTTGGGGCAACATGGCGGACCAGGTTAGTCATATATGCAGTACATATATATATATATATATATATATGTATATATGTGCATGCATATATTTCCAAAAGTGAAATGAATTACTTCATCATTGCCGAAAATTTCAAACTCAGTTTTGTTCTGAAGTTGTGGTTGATGATACTGCTTATTCTTATGTTATGCAGACATCGCAATATGCTTATTTCAGGATCAGTGCTGAATAGCCAAGGTGGTCCAAGCTCACTGCTGAGCTACAGCGGTGAACGAGGTGGACCTTCAAGTGTTATAAATGTTGGTGGAAATCCCGGATCGGTTTTCCAAGTAAGTTTTTCTGAAGTGGAAAATGTAAAAATTATTCATGACAAACATAAGGAAGTTACCATTACTAGCCGTGTTTCAGGAAATGAATCCAGCTTCGGTAGGTCCAGGAAATCTTGCAGTGCCAATGACACCCCTTGCTGGTGACCATTTCCAACCAGCATCAAATATCCCTATGGTTTCAACAAATCCACCTCAAACGCCCGGATCACAGTTGATTGACATACCGTCACCAGCGCTTCAAAACATAGTGTCTACTGTTAACTTAGGTGGGAATCTAAAGACTGGAAAAGAATTTTTTCACATTTTTGAAGACATTCATGATTTTTGTAATCGTCAATTGCAGGTGTACCATTGGATTTGAAAAAAATAGCTCTTCACGCTAGAAATGCGGAATATAATCCAAAGCGTTTTGCTGCTGTAATAATGCGTATTCGTGAACCTCGCACAACTGCTCTGATATTTTCATCGGGAAAAATGGTTTGTACAGGAGCAAAATCTGAGGAATCAAGCAGGTATGTGGTAGTTGCAAAACAATACTTTGTCCCGTTGTAACATATTAATTATGTTTTTCCTTTTGGATTCAAGCAATATTCCTTCGTATGTCATTACTCAATGGGTTAATTTATATTTGAGTTTTAGACTTGCTGCACGAAAATATGCCAGGATAGTACAGAAGCTCGGTTTCAACGCAAAATTTACTGAATTCAAAGTAAGTTAACTACGATAAATTGGGCAGAAAACCGATGATAAAGAAGAGATGATTACACGAAGTATTTTTAGATATAAATGACTTAAGACATCTTTGATTTCCATTTAACGAACCTGATTCTATAATATGGCTTATAAAGAAAAGTATTATAAAATACTGGCTATTTTGGTGTTTGCTTCAGGTTCAGAATATGGTTGGTTCATGTGATGTGCGTTTTCCCATACAATTGGAGGGCCTGTGTTTAACACATACTCAGTTCTCTACATATGAACCGGAGCTCTTCCCTGGACTGATTTATCGAATGGTAAAACCACGAGTAGTACTGCTTATTTTTGTTAGTGGGAAGGTAAGCCTAAAAATTGTTTGGTTCAAAATCTAGTTTATTTGCCAGAAGCGCGAACCAGGAGAAAAGGTTTATGGGTTACATTAAAAAGTGAAGTCTAACAATGCTGAATCTGGATGTCGCACAATGTTGAACTCTTGAGGAGCTCCTTGCGTATCTTTTCTGTAAGGCTATCGTTTCGCTATTAAGCATAAAACATTTACTGTGCAGTAAGAAGTTTATCAGTTTTTCGACTTTCATAGACTTGATGGAATTATAAAATTCCTTGTTTTTTTCAGGTTGTTATAACAGGCGCTAAATATAAAAAAGATATCGACGATGCATTTAATCAAATTTATCCAATTTTGAAAGGCTTCAAAAAATAAAGTGGTATCTTTGGTTCCTTCATTGTTATTGTTAATGGTGGTGATAGCTTCGAGTATGTATTTTCAATTATAAATTTAAACATCACGCCTTCTATTGAGCTGAAAGAATTCGCGAAGAATTTTGATCTAATCAAACGTAAAATTTCCCATTCATTATCCAATTTTGACATCTATAAGCGAATTTTTACAGATTTAGGATGGTTATTAAAAGACGAGAAGTGAGAATGCGGTGGTGATATGACTGAGTTTTGATTTTCTGAAAGTAAAGGTGGTGTATTGAACTAAAAGAATAGCATATGACTAGGTAGTTAGGTAGTAAGTCAGTTCAGGTTTATCCCACATATCTCTTCCTGTCATCCCTCACTAACTTCGAAATTTTTCGGAAGCTGACAGATAATAGTGATGTTTGATATTGTTCCTTTGTTCATTATAGTAGTCGTATTTTTTTTTTTCCGTATATTTATTATATTGCCCACTCATGTAGACATAGCTTTGAAATGGACTAATGGACTAATCATACTATCATTCTGGCACTTTGTGCTAAGGACCATGTCCATATCGATCGTTTTACTAGGTAATTATATTGCACATATGCGTTCTAAAGTTATATTTGTCACTTTTAGAACCGCAAAATCCATCCGTTCCCTTTTGGTTTAATGAAATGTAAATTCCAATCAGCTTGGAAAATTTATTTAGGGATAAATAACACTAAACAGATTAATCTGTTTCTAAGATAGAAGATAGAGATTGGATCAAATAATTTCAGAGGAATTCTGCCTTCTTCAGCGTTATATAATATTTAATGAGGCTAAAGAGGATCAAATCCTTCGGTTAGGGAACGACAATTTTGTTTGTGCCAAATCACAAGTTGTCTCATTCGATAGGAACGTGGAAACTTGAGCAACGAGATCCAGAAAATGGTAGCGTGTATATCACTAATTTTTATTGAACAACGAAGACTTTCAAGTACAATTTAATAAATTTTGAGGACAGATTCGTCAAATAAATGGCACGTGAATTGGATCAACTTCTTTTTCCGCTTCGTTCATGATAATCTTTTTGTAATCAACATAACGGTATTTTTTTTGTAAAGTCTGCGCTCGATTCTTGTGGAAAAGTATACGCGACTGGAATAGTCGAAGAGCTGCTAGAGAAAATACTACAGTGTCGTGCTTTACTAAGCTAAAACAGTTTATTCCATAGACTGGCATAACGTTGAATGTCGGTATGTCGTCGCACACCTTTGCCAGGTTCCCAGATACCTAAATTCCAGTAACGGTTGAGTTTATTGCATTATAAAGAGGTAATAGAATGCCATATCTGTTACAGTGTATAATTTCAAATCATTAGCTGGTACCATACAACTGTAGTCTTTTTCGCTTTGTTTCGCTTAACAATGTTGAATTATATGAATTATCTCAGTCAATGTTGCACACCCATGTGTGCGAACCGAGAGAGATTATTAGAATGGAGTGAGAATATGTTAGCTGAAGAATTCGAAATTTAAAATAAAAAGCAGAGTTAATTCGTTTACTTCGGAACTTTCGTTGATAAATAATACTGAATAACCCCAGTTTCTGGAATCCGCGAGGTCGTGTACAAATTGGGCCTCATCACTCGGCAGGCTAGCGAAATCGTCAACGATCACCAAGTCATTCTGCGCATGTTTAATTGTCACTGCTACACATAAACCTTCCAACCTAATCGCATCTGGCAGAACATAGAACCATGTCTTAGGTCCGCGTATTCCATTAGCGAAACTAAAAACAATATTCCAAAAGAAAGACTGAACAGCTGATAACTGGAATACAGATAAAATGCATATGTCTGAAGAACTACAAGTCCGGCAATTGCAAACTTCTATTTAAACACACGCCAAGAACGCACCCGCCCAAACGAAAATGGGGAGATCTGATTGAACCGGCATGATGTCGACCAGTTTTTTTCTGTGGCCACGGCTTATGTCCACCACCGGGCATTTCTTTCTTGGATAGCTGCTTCGTTATAGCTAAATTTCGATAATTCTCTTGCCAAGTGATATTACGATGCAGCAAATCAATCCTTGGCATGGTTCGGAAAATACATGGATGTAAACTGATTAAATCCACCCGAGATTCCTAGAAATTATAATGGTCTAAAAAAATGATATGTCATATACAATAGTGATTACGTCCTTAGTTTAGAGATGATTCCTTTAAATCGATCCCAGACAAATTTCAGAAAAAGCAGTCCCAATTTGATCTAGTGTTAGTATTCGGAATCATGATTTTAAAATCGTACCTGTTTTTTTGCCAGTGTTGTGACCCATGCCTGAGGGATTTCGATAAATGGATTGCTTCTTTCGATCTTCCATAAGGCTAGTTCTTCCGAAGTTGCTGGGATTTCTGAAGCATTCTGGCATAAGCCCAGCACACTCCGACGCAGTGGATTTCTTCCAAACAAGGAAAGAACTCGAATCAACTGAGCTGATGGCATAAACTGGAACTGGAACTTTTCTCTCGAATAAAGTCACCTGAAACAAAAAGAAATGAGCTAACTTCACCTTGAGTTGGTTGTAAGAGAATACATAATCCCGGAAAGAAATATCAGGTTGTTGCGCAGGAACTGAAACCAGATTTACTTCACTAGTTCAGATCGAAAGTTTGGTAACGATGATACAACAAACCATAAATCTTGCCCTTGCAAATCGAAATAGTGAAAGATATCACTGGGAAATATATTCCTATTTTTGGAGAAACGCTTTCTGCAGATACTGAAACGCATCTACAGCCTTGTTGTTTACGAAAAGTAGTTGCAATTTAGAGCACCGATATTCATCATTTTCGCATAAACGTAAACAAAAAAATGACAAGAAAAAGAAACAGTTAAATTTATTAAGAACGTAAACTAACAACGACAGTTCCTTGAATAAAACAGTCACAATATTCGATCAATGATAATAAGTTTACTAAACCATACTGGTTACTAGTAAAAATTCCTAGTGAACTTGAACTTGTTGAAATGTAATATGAAATGAAGATTTGGACAATACTGGACGCTTTTGGTGATGGTCAGCCCACAATATGGAAAATTAAATACAACTCTGTGCTTTGAAATCATCATTAAAAAGATGAACTGGTGGTTCTTTGTCATTAATTGCAATCGCATAGCTACAATCTGTCATATTCCTAAATAGTTTTGGTCGCTTTTTAACTGGATGACCATCATTCTGAGAGTCGTTATCCGAAGATTCTTGATCCTGAATTTCTAATTATAACATCACAACACACCTCAATCACTTCAAAAATAAATTTACTAAATTTACTATATTTGACTATACCACTTACTGCTTATACTATAAGGAAAACGAGAACTTTTTATATATAAGACAATTTTTCCGAAATGCAGCTTGCAGTGCAGAGCAGATTTCTGAGTGACTTTTAACGTTTCCTTTTAAATCGATCTTTTAAAATAAAACAAAACCTGGTTTCTTCGGAATTTTTCCTCCTCCTTGTATTTCAAGAGATCACTTCCAAATTTTCTGGATAATAATTTCGTAAAGTACTGGTCGTCATTTTCCCAGCGCACAAACGACTCCATCCTTTGCACCCCTTTGTCAACGAAATTTGCCCTTCTTGCTACATTTATAAACCAATGTCGCTGCAACGCCTGCAAAAATGAATGAAAAAAAAAAATTTGATGTATAAAACTCAGAAAATCAAAAAAAAAACTGACATATCCATTTTATTTCTGAATGAAATTTGGATAAAAACATTTGAATAAAAAAACTGCAGTGCAGTAAAATGCAGCAAACCTTGATTTCCCACAGTGAGCTTTCCATAGCTCCACATTTTTGTAGATCCATTTGTTTCTCGTCATAGGGATCATCAGAAAATATTTCTGTAAAAAAATAATTTTTGGATATTCGCGAAAATCGAGATCTAGAGCATTGTAGGAATCCACAGATTCTCAGAAAAAATGTATGTCTAGAAACTATGAAAATATTGCTCATGTGCTCGCAAAGAATAAAATCGAATAAAAACGTCAAACACCTGGATTATCCCTATGCACCAGAAATTCCACATCCTTGTGTCGTGTAATCAAATTTCCTATTAAAGCAAATAAAGGTTCCTGACACGAAACAGGGGCTAAAAGAGTCAGCCAAGACAAACGTTTCACAAATGCTGCGACAATGTATATCGGAAGGTGTCTGGAAATTTGTATGAACATAAAATATTCTCCAGTGCTACAACAACTACAACGACAAATAAAAATGGTGATAAAACAGATGATGCAAATAATAAGAAAATAATTGTCCTGAAAGAGAATAACTATAGACTTCGCTGAGTTTCAATACGAATGAAGTAACTTACGATGATGAAAGAAAAGTATCCAGAAGTGTGAAGAATTTTTTCCGATAATTCAGATAACATACAGATGGCGTTATCAACCCGTAAGCGAACTGATAAAAATTTGGGAATTCGCTGAAAATTATTAGAATTTGAATATAAAGTTTGAATTAAAAATCTTTCTCTTTGCGAAATTCAAAATTGGTTCCACGCCTCTCTCTTTAGCTTTGTAAAAGGAAAGGAAAATCTTAAATCCAAACTGGTACCTTGTATTAGGCAATTAAACGTCTAAAGTAATTAACATATGTGAAAGATTATGTGAGAAATTAATTTATAAAACAAAAAAAGAATGAGTTTTACGAACTTACAAGTTATATTTCACAACCAATTTGAAAATTCCAGCTAGAGAAAGTATTGCAAAAATTTCGCCCATTTTAAAAATGCGAAATAAGAAATCGCCAATAAGAAAAGGCTCCTTCAATGAATCGATCACATGTTCGCTCAGATATGGTATCATCTTTTTCAACAATGGCTTGGGTAGCTTAAACAAATAAAATCTACCATATACAATAAATAATTAGTTTATATTCTCCAAACTCCTGATTTCCCTGCTCAACCCTAATTTCCTTAGGATTTTTACGAATTCGATTAGTGATCTGCGTGCAAGTGTACTTCTTGAAAAATTGAAGGTGTTGAGAATCATAAATGAGTAAAATATTACTAGATGAATGAAATTCAAATTGCTTCGCATACCTCATGCTTCGCTAACAGTAGCCAAGCTTCTTGATAGTATCGTTTTGCTTTTCCGATTTTCCAGTGTCTACTTATAATATTGCCTGAAATTTAGGAATTCTAATGAGATGGACGAAGTTTCCAAAACAAACAACAAAATAATGGAAATTTATAGATTCAGGAAGAAATAACAGTATTACCTTTTGTATCGTAAAAAGCAGTATGCATATTTTTGGACGGAAGAGGAAGAAATCGCAAAAAATGATACATGTTCCAAAATTGCACTTCCTCATGTAAATCCTGGAAAAATTGTGAAGAGTAAAAAGAAGTCAACTTTGAAATACTGAAGAATAATCATGAACTTACAGGTATTCTAGGGATGATTTTCTTTAAAATCAAGATATACAAATCTCTGTGTCGAAAGAAGTCAGAACCAAGTTCTTTCAGCCTTTTCGGACCGATTTTTTCTTTGTTAGACAACAAGTCTACAATTCCCTAAAAATCAATATTACTCAACAGAATAGCACAAAGCAATCAGTTAGTCTTCAGGGAATTTCTTAAGGTTGGAAAATTAAAAGTAAAATCGCATCAAACACCTACGGAAAGTGCATAATTTAAAGGCTCGGCTACAATACGCTTGCCTGTTTCATCGGCAGAAAATGCTTCAATCTTCATTAACTCCTCAGCCAAATCCTGTAAGTATTCTCTCACCAGTTTATTTTTGACCGTCACCACTTTATCTAAACTAAAAATAAGCAATTCGATCCCCTGACCTTACTCGGCTCCGTTTTGTATTACGACGGTTACAAATAAACAGAGAAGTGATTAAGGAAGACGTCATCACTAAAATGCAAAGTAGGTCAAGCGGACTTCTGGAACATTACTTCCGACTCAATGCTTGGCATTTCAGAGAAGACGATTCAAAAAATAAAAACTTATATTTTTACTACAAGTCCGAACTAGAAGAAATGAAAAATAAGATCACCGCAAAGAGTGATTACCTCTGGTAAGAAAGTAGCAAACATTTCCTTCCAAATTTTTGCATCGTTTCTGGATTCCATCCGACACTCGCTTTCGATATTATGACAGATTTGTTATTCTGAAGGAGAAAATAGTTGTATGATGGGATAGTCGATCGTAAAGGATTTATCACTTAAGTACACCAACGTCGATAAATGCAAAAGTTGACCTTAAGTAAACCTTCAGCATAAGAATTGACAGTCCAGACAATGGAACTGCCGTTCTCGTACTTTCAAGGTACTAGTTTGCATGAACCATTCGACAGGTAGATGGACCGACCGGATAGGTAAAGTCCGAATTCGTGGGACGTTGTGGCCTTGTGTCCCTTGATGAATATCATCGGCACACAGGGAGAAAAGATCCATGTCATGGATAAATACATAGTTGGGAAATGGGGTGCCTTAAGCTATGAAAGGAATTAGGTTGACCAGTACTATCTGCATGTGGTTTTCCACCATTTTGGCAATGTGTTCAACCCAGAAATGCCTCATGGATTTTAAGTTTCTGATCACATACATCATTTTCATATTCCGTCCGTTTTTGCCTTTTCCTCCGTACTTTTTTGCTTTTGTTAATATTTAATGAATTAGAAATGGAGACAGACTTTGGCTCGAATAAGCCTGTACGAGTTGCACTTCATCCTTTATCAAGTAAGCGACTTGCAATTGGATTCATAGATGGTTCTATCAGATTCTTCAACTTCGATTTACTGGAAGCGAAAATTGAGGTTAAGATTACAAGCATTTTTTTTTCTACTAAATATGAAATTGTATGTGGTGAAAAATGTATTGATGAAATTAGATGAACAAACAGTGATTACACGATAAATATTTGCAGAGATTGTCGTAGTGTTATTATTTTAAAATGACTTTCTTCTCAAAATTGTATTCAGATCTTAGCCTCGAGAAAACTAAAAAGAGCTGTACGAGAGCTTTCCTTCTCCAATGATGGCGAGCAGTTGTTTGCGGTTTGTGAAAATCGAGCACTATGTGTTTATAATGTTGAGGCAAATAAGAGGTGATGGAACATGATTTAATGCGTTTATATACATTAATCTTGCATTTACAGCTTACGTAAGGAATTGAATCATTTCTTACGTAAGCTGTAAACATGGAGGGGTTGGAATTAACCCTCCATATACGTTTGCTTCCGAATAGCATGTCCGATATCATAGGGTCACGGTATATCACGGTATCAAGCATTGTGCACACATTTTGTACAGAAGTGTTGCACCATTGCTTTTTTTGAAATCTCAGAAGGAGAAGGAAGAGAAATTTTAAGTTTCAGAAAATGAAGTAATGAAAACGAAATAACCGATCACGTCTGCGAATCAAGTAGGAAGTGAAGCTTAATTTTTCTGAAGTTTATCTATTAAGGATACGATGCATTCAGAAAAGCCATGAGCATAAGATTAACGCACTGTTTGTTTTGCCAGATGCGTCAATGAAACATCAACAAGTTGTGACAGGCGATGAATTTGGTGAAGTAAGTTATTTCATATTAGTCTTTTTTTAAACAAACGAAGCCAGATGCATGATGAAAAAGCCAGATGAAAAAGCACTGTTAGCATAAATTTGACCCATCAATCTTAGCACAAATCTGATTAGTGATCTTGCTTCATATACCTTATTAAAAAATGATTTTTACGAAATACAATTCTATCACTGATATTTTGTTACTTTGGTTTTTAAGCTCCCGAGACCTTGCGCAATTTTTTGATAAACCTTTTACTTTTATAAAAATATTTTTTTCACGAATATGCTCAAGTTCTTTGCTTGTTAAGATAAAGTTGTGGGATTTACGGGTGAAGAAACCACTGGTTAGCTGTTTTAATGAACAGGAAGATGTTATAAATGATTTTGGCGTTGCTGGAAATGCATTGTTAGCAGTTAGTTCTGATGGAACTCTAGGAGCATATGATTCCCGAAGACAGAAGTTACTGGTTAGGTCGGAACCGATGCATAGTGAACTTTTGTGTTTGGCTGTCACGCATAAGTTAGTATTTCCAATTTTTACATCGTTTTTTGCTTAATTTTTACTTACCAGATTTTGTAATTGTGCTCTTTGAACTCATTCATCGGTTCCACCCAGTTTTATGAGAAAAGTATATCATAAATTCGCTTATATCTAGCGACTTTAGCAGGTAAATGTATTAATTTCAGGTATTGTTACGTTGGAAGCGGTGACGGCTATTTGGAAGTTTTTAAGACAAAAGAATATGGTAATCTCTTGCAAAGGATTAAAACAGATCATCCACTAGGAGTCGACTCTGTGCAGCTTCTTAGATACGGTGTTTTATTAACTGGTTCAAATGAAGATGATCAGCTAAGGTTACGGATTGCATCTTTTCTTTATTTTTAGAATTCCAATTCACTGAATTTGCATAGAAAGCGTAATTCCACTATTTCCGTTTCTTGTGAATTCGATTTTTGTTGTTTTTTTTATAATTCATGAGCCGTTATTTTTATTTCAGTGTTCTTACACATTTTTTTTTTTTTAGGATAACTTATTCGGATCCAAATAAAAATATGGGTAGTGTTGGTTTACATGTCGGTGGAGTGCAACAGTTATCGATTACCTGTGATCGAGAATATTTTGTAAGTGTGGGTTGGTTGGAATCAACTGTTAAATTCTGGTGTTTACCGGAGCTACTGGATGAGGTCGGTTGGTTTGTTAATGATAGCTTTCCATTTTCTAAAAGGTATCTCTTGTCACATAAGCCGTCATTTAAAACTTGTACTCTTTTTTAGATACCAGTATTACACTCGGACGATATTCCATCTAAGAAGGTGCCAAAATCATCACATTTTTTCAACGACCTCATTAATGATGTGTGACTTTTCATGTGTACTTATATTGCATTTATTATTTTCATACAATAAAAATATTTTTTTCTAGTCTGTTCTTCCCATCTTATTGTGTAAATTAATTCGCGTAATTCTTCATTCATATGTTTATGTAGAGACTCATTTTATTATCCTCTGATACCTTTGATTTTATACATGACGTAATTCCGTGTGCCATCAAGAAGATGGAAGCTGGAGTTATTAGAATTCGGCTAGGTTTTATTTTGAAGAATAAATAGGGAAAATGGTTTTTCCTGTATGAGCATTGGTGAAATTAGCATGCATCCTGCAACCTGTATACGGTAATGAATGATAGTAAGTTTGTTGGTTTTACGAGTTATTTTATGTGCGTTTCTTTTTTTTTTATTATCGTATGTAGTACGAATGGAAGGGATCACAATTTTTCCAGAAAATCTGATAACTTTACTGATATTGTGACGACGTTTCATAAACCAAAGTCCTTAAGATTTTTCCAATGTAATTTACAGAGTCAACAATGCAGGAAGAAAGGATTTCGTGCTTAGCTTGCGGCTCATTGGATAGCTTAAATATTTGTCCAAGATGCGGTCTTGCATATTGTTCTGTGAAGTGCTATCGAAGTGAACAACATCGGAAATGTTCAGAATTGTTTTATTATGAGTGTGTCGAGCAAGAATTGCGTCTTCGGGGTGGTCCACAAAAGCCTCCGAAAACTTTTGAAGAATTCATAAATGAACAGCATGCAAAGGATTTTTCAATGGATGTGGGAATTCCGGGTACCTCAGTTTTCTTTCTTTTTTTTGAAAAGATGTACTCTGAAACTATGAAAAAGTTGTATTGAAAAAGAAATTGTATATATATGGTTCTGTGCTCGCGTGACCAAGTCGCATAATAAACACGTCGGACAACGAATAAGAAGAGAGGTGAGTTGTGGATTAAAAAAGGTGTGGATTATTTGTCTATCATATACTGATGGGAGTGTGACACGTAAATCGTGATTTGGCTTTGACATTTTTAGATTAGAAAAATTGCAATCATGTTTTTTATGTAAGCAAAAGTATTGGTTTTTTTGGATTCCGTAATGTCTCATATTTTTCTTGGAGATGTGTGTGTCATTTTCCATCAGTTGTTTCATTTCCTCGGTACTTTTTCCAGTTCATCGTACATTCTTTAGGTGGTTCTAATCATCTGATAGACTCAGATGATGATGATGATGATGATACTGTTGATAGTTACTTGGAGGAAGTAAAAGACGGATGCATTTCGGAATATCAGTCAGCCGATGAACGTGAGCTGGATAGACAACTAACATTAATTGGTATTGGTACAGACAATGAGAGTCTTCTGTCATCACTGAACGATTTAGAGAAAAAGTCGTTTACCATGTTCTATAATAAATTATTAGAACAAGAAGCTGATCTTGGTCGATCAGTTTTCACAAAGAAACAAGAACCGAAATAGAGTACTAGTGTATGTATATAAATTATACGTTTTTTTTCTTTCTTTTTTTCTAAATCTTTGTTGTATTTTGAGCTTTTAAGAGCATTAAGTCCTTCCATGGCAACAAACCTTTACGAAGAAGGAGTACTCATATTCACAATTGTTTTCGGAGTTTTTTAATTGCCTTTCGGATTGTTTATGCTTTCTAATTCGAATCTTAGAAATCCTGTCAGAAATTCAGAAATGTATCTCGGATATTGAGATTAAGTATGTCTACATTGTTTATGAATTGGATGTTTATTGCATCTGTGTTTTTGATATTCTTGAAATCATAGATTTAGCATTTATCTTCTGGGGAAAATATCTTCGAAACCCTGTTTATAAAGGCAAGCTGATTATCTCCTGGTTTTGGAGTGTGTAATTGTTTGCACTTGATTAAAATTTCCAAAATTTTAATTCAGAGAGTTCATCTTAGATGAAAAGCTGGATAATGCTGAGATACGGGCTCAATTGCCAAATCTGCGGCTTTTTTGTTCCAGACAGTTCTGCAACTTTTACTTTATGAAGGCCATACCACTTACCAGAATTTATTTGCGAAATGCTGATGAGTAATTTTATATTGTTTCCTTGTAAGACGTTAATTTATGGTTTCGGATTTTTTGTTTATATTTTCGGAAATTTAATAGAAATCTAGAAATTACTGTATTTGTTGTTCTGTGCATATGAGTTGACGGCAAGGAAATTTACCGTACGATTGTACTTAGATTATTATTATCAGTTTGACTAGAGAAATGTATTAAGATTTTAAGGAAGACTTGCACTTCAAATTTCAGTATGGATTAAAGTTGTTTTTCTCCTTGGTGGCATTGGTTGATTTCTGTTCAGTGTTTCAAATATATATGGAAAAGCTGTGTCGATGTTTGTTACATGAATACTTATACTACACGCAAATGCGATCTCCTATATGATATAAAAGCAGTAAGGAAGGGTGTTAATGCTTATACTGATCAGTTAGGATATCAAGTTAGTCTGTCAAGCTTTCACAATTTTAGTTATGCTCATTACTTTGCTGGGATATTGGAAGTTACTTCTGAGACAGGCAAGTACGTCTGTTAGAGCAGAAATTGTTGGTACTCATAAAGTGGAGAAGGTAATTCCTTAATTCATCGAGATTTTCTTTATTTATTGCTGACGTTATAAGTTGAATTATTTGTACACTGGTGTTTATTTGAAAAGATTTTGATTATTTTCATGAGTTTTTAATGTTAGTGAAGGTTCCAATCACATTAATTAATAAATATTCCTTCGAAGGTCATGAATGCGATCGAACAGGAATGGAGGCAAAGAGACACTCGTCTTTTTGCCGTTGTGTATATTGATAAGCGTCAATTCAAAGTATCGGAGAATGATTTGATTGTTTTATACGATAATGTACCCCTGGATGTGGGTGATGAAATTAAGTTGGAGAAGGTTATTTTTAAAAAATTCAAAATTTAGAAGCTTCTTTTGGAGTGTTCTAAATCTAAACAATTTGAATTTTGGAGAAAAAGTGCTTTCACTATTGGGTTTTATTCTGTTTATGGGTACATTTGTATTTGTTTTTCCTACTAACTTTGTTCAATGAATTTTCACTACTGATTTTTATTTCAAGCTAGGAAAAATGAGTTATTTTCATCGTTGAAAATTAAGGTGAATGATGGTATTTTATAATGGTAAAATTCTGTTTGACCTAGTTTGTAATTTGCGTATTGCGTGCATTTCTTTTTTCAAACTCTTGAACATTTTGATATCCAGACTGTCAACAAAGTCTTCATCAAAAAAAAAAATCTTGATGAGGAACTTGCAATTTTAGATTTTAGCAGTTGGTGGCAAAAATTTCACATTATTTGGTCGGCCACTGATACATTCACCAACAGTAGCAGTTAATGCTACTGTTGTTGAAAAAACGACATCTTATCCACAACTCAGATACCTGATGAACAATCATGCAAAAGCGCGAACTCTTCACTGTAAATTCTTCTCATAGGTTTTATAATTATTGTTAGCAAATTCTACACAATTCACAAATAAATCCTTAACCCCTATGAAATCTTTCTGGAGAATTCCTTGAAATTGATATTTAAACTAATGAACATTTTGCCCATGATCACTGAGTTTGCATGTTAACTTCTCATTGTTGTTTTTTTTAGGGATGAGTCGTGAAACAACGATATTAAGGATAAATGATATTAAAATCGATAGTAAGAATCTGTGATCATATGATTTTTCGTTCGTACAAATTTTGTTAAATTTTAAATTAGATAGAAAAGTAGTCTCAAACATGACGACAATTTCGAACAGGAAAAGGAAGGTCCGATTTCTTTATGAAAATAATCTAACGAAACAAGCGGTAAATTTTGCAATTAAAATTTGGGCCACCCATCTGATGGTGGATATTGTAAATGGTCGATGCAACATCTCATTTCCTTGTTTAAAATTAAGATAATGCAACTGTGAATAAAAATTTTAGTGTTATTTGTTGAATTCTCAAAGGTGAAAGACCTGGTTTTCGGGGAGCTTATAGATGTGTCGACAAAAAATTTTGCTGCAGTCGCATACGTCTGCGTACATTTGCTGACGGTGGACATTTTGCAAAAATGATTTGTGACAGGGGCGGGTTCGGTATTACTATAAAAGTGTCTCATTTAACCCAAATTAACCAATTTCTTCCGATTCCTTTGCACTAATTTCCTTTTGTTTCTTTTATGAACAGTTTTGTCGCTGACGCGAAAAAAATCTTTTGTGATCTTTCATGATAATTTTTTTTAATTGTTAGGTCTTTTATGATAATTTTTAATTGTTGGGTGCCAACCATTTGCACTAGTGCACAGTAATTACATATATAATGACGAGAATATTTTCTGTGGTACCTTAACATTCTGTATAAAAGTGTGATGGTGTGATAGGGAATGAATTTCAGGCGTACACCAGTCTTTTTTGAATTTTTCTTGTTTTTTACATAGCCGATTTACACCATATCTTATTTGAGACTCCGTTATAACTAAAATCCATCGGTATCACTAATTAGTATAAGCACTGTCACACATGATAATAATGGTAATACTGTAACACAATAGTAATTGCAGTGATTAGTACGATTATGATTATGATCTGCTGATAACTGTTGCTGATTGTTGCTATATGTTTATTTTCACTTTCAAATTAATTCGTTAAGCTATTTCAAAGCAAATAAACTCATAATTGATAAACGGGCGTGAGATGTCTGTGGAAAATGCAACATTGGGGGCGATCGTATTTTCCGGTGCAACACTCCTCATTTGTTTGCTAGCGATCGCGGCAATACACAAGGATGTGACATCCATTTGGAGTGAACTAGATTCGGAAATCGTTTCTTTCAAGGTTTAAGTCTTTTTGTTCATTGCACTGCTGATAAAACTCTTCCGGTACTAGAAATGCCTAACATTAAACCCATTAATCACTTTTATTTAGGTTAAAACGGATGATTTGTGGAAAGAAATGATCGGTCTTGGCGCTGGTACCGCGTCAAATCGCTTACGTCGTCAGGCTAACTACAACATTTATGACAAAGGTAAAAAAAGCGGTGATAGTTATGACAATTCTGGCGGAGGTAGTAGCGGTTACGACAGCTCGTCGGGCGGTAACTCTGGTAGCAGTTATGGTAGCTCGGCGAGCAGTAGCAGTTACGGCAGTAATAGTAATGATGACGGTAATGGATACGATTCTAGCGGAGCGAATTATGGCGACATACCACCAACAGTAGTCAACGAACGGTATAACAATCCATACAATGTGAACTCAAAAGAAGGTAATCCTTTTGTTTCCATTGAAATTTTCGCAATGAGTAGTAGTAGTAGTATAGCTAAAGGTTGAATGAGAATAATTACAGAGAGAAGGGAGAGAGAGAGAGAGAGAGAGTAGGTTTTGCAATTTCAGGTGACAGATATTGTGTTAAAAATATAAGACAAAAAACAATTGACAAAATTTCAAGCATTAAGAAAAATGACATTTGTTTTGAAATATAAGATAAATTTAATTTTAAGGCCAAAATACTTTTTTTGAATATTTTGCATTATTGTGATGATTTTGAACTTTTGCAAAACAATTGTTAAGTGCTCCCCAGTAAAATGAACAATAATGAAGAGAAGAGCAGCGAAACCGAAATTCATCCGAAAAGTTTCGCCCCAAGCAGTGAACCAGTGGCGGATGTTGGCGATAACACTCATAGGAAACCACCTGGTATCGGAACTTTTGTCTCACCAACACGCTATGGTAGCTCCGGCAGTCAACCAGGCCAACAGTTTCGTCCAATTAGCGGTTCTTTCATACCTCCAGGTTTTCCAAAAAATGGATGGTGTGGTATGTTTCTATATCCTCATTTTTTAGTTCACTTTTTAATTTTAGAATCTATCCACTTTATATTTAAATTTTTCTTCACCAGACTTCCTTAAACCATTTCAACAGTT